AAATTCAGATTGGAAAAACAACGGGAAACCGATATTTCGATTTTAAAGTTCAAGAGGACGAATCAGAATTTACCAGAGTGGCTTGTTTTAGCCCTGAGAAAAGAGATGTGTTAAAACGAAAACAAGAGTCCAAGGACCCTGTATGTCTAACGAACGTAAGTCCTCAAAAGAAAAAGTACAAACCCGATATAAAAGAGTACACAATGGGTAAATATTCGAGCGTGGTTGATGGTGACAGTTTATACTTTCCATGGAGATTAAGTCCAGGAGCTGACACAAATCCAGTATCAATTGAGAACATTTTCGGCAAGAAGGAAGTTGGAGAGTCCATCTGGTTTCGAGGAAAAGTCGTTTCGATTTCTGACCCCTATAGTGTGTATTCATCTGCTATGGAAAAAAAATTGCAAAAGCGTGATTTGATCGTTGCAGATCCCACAGGCGCGATGTTCCTTTCCCTTTGGGAGGGACTTGTCGACCAAGTTGAAATTCAGAGGTCGTACCTCTTTACGAATGTGAAAGTCGCATTTTTTAAAAAGAGATTTCTAAATACTACATCAAAGTCAGTCATCAGCGTTCTCGAGGAAAGCATCGAACTCCCACGCAAAGTTGAGGAGAGAGTAAAGATACTGGAGATGCAGGAGAACAACATTGAGAAAGTTCGAGGCAAAATCTTGAGCGCAGAAGTATCGCAGACATTTGTGTGTATCAATTGTAAGGGTCGTATACACGAGGATCTGATCAACAATGCCAAGTCCGTTGTCAAGTGTCAGCAATGCAATCTTAGCACCTTAAAAAAAACATGACGAGTCACATGACGGCAAATATAATCATCCAAGCCGAAGGTGACGATAAAACAGCGTCGGTGAGATACCATTGCCCAATGGTCGCATTAAGATCCCTGTTTGCAGTTTTGAGCATTACGGAGGGTTACAAGTTCAAAGAACAGGACATAACCGAACTATCCGAAGATATGGTTGTCGAAACCCTGTTGCATATTGGCGAAGTGGAATTTGAAATCCGAAAGGAAGAAAAGTTGATAGAGTCGATGAAATTACTGTAATTGCTTAAACATTTGATTTCATTTAAACAGACAGACTACAGGTACTTGGTCTTGGCATGTTGTGTTGATATTTACAGGAAAACTGGTATTCTTACCAGACGTAAATTTTTACTAACTTGGAACCCTGAAATTGTTTTTGTATAAACATTGCATAAACATTTTGTATAAACATTGTTTTGTATAAGCATTTTTGTTACGTGATTAGTTTCGGCATTTTGCAGATTCTAAGCATGTTGTAATTAGATGCAAAGTTGTACAACTATTTTCGAGCATTCTGTGAAAGAAAACACTAGAACTAGGCCTAGGGTTTGGAAAATTTTAAAGGAAACTAGGCGTAATTTGCAAACATTCTTTCAACTCTGACAAACAATAAAATTTGAATTGATGTTTTGAAAGTGCATCTTCTAGCTGTCACTGACATTTACTGCAAGCACTCAAGTGGCTTCCTGAATTTATTTATAGACAACATGCATTTTAAGGTGTAAACAATTTATTTAAAACTTTTATATATGTTTGTTACAACTTTGTATCTAATAAAAACATGGGTTGGGGGCTGGGGAATTGTGTTTACTTACGAGGCTCAGCTAGTGTATTATTATGAAGAACAGTTTTGTTTTGATGCTTATAAATATCACATGAGTCTTCTATTGTTAAAAATTTGATAAAAATGATCTGGTGGCAGTGTTGATTTTTGTTTGCAAATTTTGGGGGTATAGTTCCATGCAAGGGACAGATCCACAAAGTCACATTTTGCCCCCCTCCCCAGGAAGGAAAAGTCCCTTTTTTCTAAATTTATACAAACAAACCTACGAAAAATAAATAAATTTATCCTTTGTCCTTGTTTAACAAAATCGATTTAAATTGTTACGTTTTTCTACTAAGTAATGATAAATTATTGTTAATAATTTTTTATTTTTTGTGCATTTTTTCTTTTATTTCAAATACAAGTATACTTAGGATAATTTTACAGCAAATTTAAATGCTCAGAATGCAGGAAATGGCATTTCCAGGCTTCAAACTTCAAAAACGTTCTGGGGGAGTATGCCCCCAGACCCCCCTATTCATCTGTGGTATGTTGGCCACACAGGTGGCCTTCAGCCATTCCTATCCCCCTCTAGTATATTATCTCACAGAAAGGTCCCTTTTCAAAAAATCCCCCCCCCCCAAGGAAAATCTTTAAAAAAGGCCCTGAACAGTATACCAAAAAAACCTATTATTGTAAATGTCTGTTTACATATTAAATTTATACTTCTGACAACACCATATGTTGTTCACACATGCGATAGTGTAATTGGCCACAAATGAAAGAATATATACCAATTTATGAAATCCACAGCAATCAGATGGACAAAAAATTGTTTGCAGAAGGAAGCAGGCGCAAAAAAATTGTTTGCATTGACGAAATGTCCATTCCCCTCGCCCAAAAAAAATAATGGTACGTCCCTAAAGTGTAGCGGCTGGCAATAACGTCTTGGGCATATACATAGCTTTACGAATACTAGTCATTTTGCATTAACCGGCCGTGTTGTCGATTTCAGGTCAATTTTCAAAGAGCGGTCTCTCCAATTGGCAATTTAATACGTCTCTATTAAAAATAAGGAATATTCGCAAATTTCTTTCTGAAGTACCGAAGTACTGAACATAAATTCGTAATTTTATAGTTAGTTAATACATTTGACATCCCTAAGTACAATTTCTTACGCTGAATCGAACGTTTGTATTTTTTATCCTTATTGCGCCATTAGGCATTACGAATACAATATATTTCACACTACAGTTTTCACGTTTCCACAGATATTAACTAACTATTTAATAAGGACTGTTGTTGGATAAATTTTATATTGGTATGACACCAATATGCTTCTCATAAAGTAGTTATCTATTAAAACTACGTTGTGTAGTTTACTGTAAGTTATAATCTTTTACCTTGAAATTGTCTTTGCCTTTGGCTCGTTTATATTCAGATTCAGTATATTATGATCGTGCACGGGAATTCGACGATCCAAATTCGGATTTTCAGAGTCGTGCACCAAGAAAAATGCATTAACTAAACTAGCAAGAATGTCTAGAGTTGGACACAATGCAAAATCCATAAAAAACAGGTACAATTCGTTGAAATATTTTGAAATATTTTGCCCACTCCACGAAAGGCCGCCATTTTGATATTAGGCAGCTCATTAATATTCTATTTTGTGGCTATCGAAGAAAATTGGAGATCCACTATTGCTGATCCACTATTGCTGATCCACTATTGCTGATCCACTAAAAATGCGTGCCGAAACCTATACTCGCCAGGGCACAGAGTGCCCCAGCGAGTAATTATATTAAATTAAGCATAGTTTTTCATCCCATGGTATTTTTTTTTAGGAAATAAGGATATTTAATTTCTGCCATGTATATTAGTTATTTTCTGCATAATCAGCAATTTACTTGGGGTGATGAATGGTCATTTTCTTGTAAAATATTATACTTACACAAATTTTTCCTTCCAATAACCACCCCTAAAAGCAACCCTTCTAAGCTGTCGCTTTTGCTGTCGCTTTTGCTTTTCGGAAGTTAGAGCTATGTCGGCACTGCCGTTTCAGGGCGGGGTCATTTTCAGGACTTTCGTCCAGGATTCAGGTTTTGGCACATATGCCATGTTGACCGCCATCGTCATTTTACCCTAAAACAGTTGAGATTACCTGTGGTAAATGAAATGCATACAAACTCATATACAGGTCCTAGACTAAATAGCTCTACGCCTAGGCCAATGTAATGTAGTTTCTACAAGATTCGTCACGCCACCGAGTTTTACAGTTTCAGAATACCCCGAATACTTGAAAATTGCGACTATACGATAAAATAAAACAAAGATTGTGACGGGGATAAAATTTGTAGGCAGGCATTGCTCCTGAACGGCAACTAGTGTTGGTGTCCGGCGAAACAAGCTAATCCATATATTCCTGTACAGCGTAAACAGGTTACGCGGGGTTTTATATTTGTGTTTATTTATATTGAAATAAGTCAGATCTATAAGAGCATATTTAAACTAAGTATTAATAGCAATAGGCCATACTGTTCAAGACGAGAGAAATCAAATTTCGTATGAATCACAGCTTGCATGGAGACACCTAGAATCTAGATGCAGCTTGGATGCAGCTTTGCCTGTGGTTGAAAATCCCCAGAAATGTCGGTATATCTTAGAAAACATAGACTGGGGTCTTCAGAGATTTCAGCTGATTCGTGCCAAACTTCGCTCTACACATAAGGCCACTACAAGTTAATCTTTAGTTTCTGGTCGCCGCCCGCGTCCTTTCTCCGCAAAGTATTATTTCAGGACTATTTTGTTGTTTACAATTAATTTCTAGTTTTTGGAAATTTTCGCGAAAGATTTAACTTATAGAACGATAAATATTCAATTTACACTAAAAAGACCTAGCAAAATGTAGTATTGAATGGTAAAAACCGCTGCCTTATCGAGATTACGAGGTAAAAAAACTAGAAATATTAATAGATCATTTTCATATGTAAAATCCTTTGTAATCTGTCATGCATGTCGATTTATAAATAATATAAATGCAATTTATGTAAAATTTCATAACAATTTGATACAAATAGCATGAAAAGGGACAAGAAAGACCACAAAAATGTGGGCAAAGCCACAATTGTATTAAATTTATATGTCCTATATTACGAAAGTCACCGAACTGTGGAATCGCATAAAAAATTCGTATATCGACCCCACAAACGTCTACGACCGCGCCTACATAGTTTTGCATGTTTACAATTCTAATTTTGAACAACCAATCAGGTTCTTGGTAACAATTACAATTAAACGTCGATTGGCTGTTTAAAATTAGAATTGTAAACATGCAAAAATATGTAGGCGCAGTTATAGACGTTTGTGGGAGTGGTGGCGATACGAATTTTTGATGCGATTCCACAGTTCGGTGACTTTCGTAATAGTCCTAACCACCCGCCCGCCCGCGTTGTAAACGAAGGTAAGGCCGGACCAGAACCTAAAGATTAACTTGTAGTGGCCTAAATAATATCGATTGAGATGTCTTTTGGCTGTTTATTTGTTTCGACGACTTGTATATTTCATAGTAGCTGTCAAATACTGCCAGTTTTTAGGTAGTCACGTGACCGGCCAAGACCAGGGCTTTCTCGTGCCTCGCCTCGTCCTCATAAGAAAGCCCTGGGAACGAGGTTGGACTTGTTGAGATCAAAATCTTGATTAATCTTTTTTTTATATATCAATCGCATTTCTTTTCAACATGGCGGTCATGCCAAGTGATAGCTCCGATAAAAATATATTAAACCAGCTCCAAAATAATTTCTTTAACGTTCAAGACAAGTACAAGGTGCTTGTTGAATATGACAGTAGCAATGACAGAGTGAAATGGAACGGTAACTTTGAGATTTTGAAAACTTTTGTGGCCGATTTGTTTGGCGAACAAAGCAAGTGGATTTCTCCTGGCGGGCGAGCAAAATCCTTTCGCAGTAGCCAAGTCTCAATTACCTGGTACCCTCTCAAAAAGTCACTTGTGTTTCAAGGACAAGCTGGTATTAAATTGAAAGATTTGATTATCGGTTTGGCTGGCTCAAATATGGCGAAAGACTGCGAAAATATTACTCTGAGTAGCGTTATAGATCAAGAAAATTTTGACCAGCTAGCAAGAAACGTTACTAACATTGAGTTGTCCGTCAAACAGATTGGTGTTGCAATGAAGAAACTCGATAAAGATTTCCAGCTGATGGCAAACTATATAAAAGATCGCGACAGGAACCATAGAGACACGACTCGTGATATTGGTGTTCAAACAGACTTTAACTTGGTAAGTGAAATGCGTGCCCAAAGCCAAACGGTTTGTTCTGTCTCGCATAGCGAACTCTCAACAGAATTAGAGGGAGCCAAGCTAGACATTGTTTTGATGGAGTCTAAAATTGTTTGTGGTCTTCTAACAAATACCAAAAAAAATGGAACAAATTCGTGTTGAATTAGTTGATCAAAACAAGGCTTTAAGCAGCAAGGTAGAAGCTTTAGAACTAGACTTAAAAACCTGTAAATTAAACCTACACGAATTGGAACAAAGGAACACAATTAATTACTCGAATCAACAATGTGGCTCAATTACACCTATGGGAGATCGGTCGATTAATTCCCAAATAGCGCCTAACAATAACACCAAGGTCGAGGCAAAGATAAATTATGCAAATTCCCACACTTTCAACCAAAGAAAAGAAATAAATCAGGAAACTAAAAGAAATAACTGTGAGCTGTCTCTTGATCAATCCTGTATTGTGGTTAAGGATCAAAGTACTGACATTAATCTAAGCAGGAGTCAACATGTATCTAAGCAAAATGAGGATAGATGCGGCCTCCCAACTATTATTTTTAACACGCTCCATCAAATACCACAGCACGATCTTACAAATCAGTATTCCATCCCGACGCGTATTACAAGTAGGGAAAAAATACAATCACTGAACCCAAATTGGCAACAGGATAAACATTCCTCAAAAACCTGCCAAGCTAAGGAGGTTTTTCGGAAGAGTCGGAGGGGCAAGCGAAAAGACAAAATGTTGTTCTTCCAATATTATTATTAGATGCCACTATGGAAAAAGAAACGATCATGGGTCAAACCATTCCTGTAAGAATAACAACTCATAACTACAATTGCACGAGGTTTCGGAATAAATATAAAACGTCCGATTTTAACTTGGTTAAAATTCCACTAGATGAAGCTGTTAAATTTGAGCATGTCCCAAAAATAATGCTGTCCAATGTCATGTCACTCGTTCCAAAAGTTGACGAAGTTCGCGAATTTATTCACCGGAATCAAATCAGCCTGGTATTTATCACAGACACCTGGCTTAAAGCTTCTATTCCTGACAGCGTGGTGAACATTCCCGGTTTTTCAATAATACGTAGGGACCGAATTAACAAATCCCATGGTGGGGTTTGTGCATACGTTAATAACCGAGATGTTAATTATAAACAGATTTTAGAGTTATCTTGCTGCCAGGAGCACGAAATCCTATGGCTGCACCTTAGACCTACTCGTATTCCACGCAAGTTCTCATGTATTATCGTAGCTATAGTATACCACCCCCCTGGAGCAGATGATTATTCTATGAGAGACCATTTATTCCAGTCATTAAAAAAGGCAGAGTCAAAATTTCTTAACTGCGCACTTATTGTTGCAGGTGACTTTAATCGTCTTAATGTTAACAGAATCAAACATCATTTTCAACTGAAACAGATAGTTCAGACTCCTACCCGCAGAAATGCGATTCTCGACATCATCTTAACTAATCTGCACGAGTATTATGAAAAACCTCTAATAATGCCCCCTTTTGGACTATCCGACCACAATACTATCATTTCATCTCCAAAGGAAAGAGCTAAAGATCTAATCTCTAATGGCACCACCTTTAAGCGTAATATTAATCCAAGTTCCAAACGAGCCCTGGGAAGATATCTAAACTCGATTGATTGGCCTTAAATTATTCCATCTACTAATGATTGTGATCAGTTATCGAACATGTTTCAAAACATAGTCCTTACTGGGGTTAATATATTAATGCCGATGACACGATCAAAGAAATGTCCTGTCGATGCCCCCTGGATAACAAACCATTTCAAATCGCTGATCATTGAAAGGCAGAAAGCTTTTTCTACCTATGGCCCTGACTCGAGCAGTTTTAAATCTCTTCGAAACCAAGTAAATCGAGAAAGGAAAATCTGTAAATCAAACTATTATAAACTCCGTGTACATCAAATGAAACAAACAGACTCCAAGGAATGGTGGAAAGAAGTAAAGCGTTTAAGTGGAATGGCATCTACTAGATCTAGTGATATTAGAAATATAATAGATATTGAAAACCTCGAACAATTATCTGAGCAAGAATTAGCTAACAAGATCAATGAAGCTTTCTTGGATCCCTTATCTGTATATAAACTGCCCAGCCCCCTTCTTCCTTTCGAGCTAGAAGTTAACAACCCTGAGTTTTTAGTAGTCACTGAAGAAACAGTGTATTCATATTTATCAAAGCTGAACCCTACAAAAACTTGTGGTCCTGATGAAATATCAAATTGGCTTCTTCGTGATTATGCAGCTATATTAGCGTTCCCAATTAGTACCATCTTAAATGCTTCCTTCAAGCAACAACGACTTCCATCGATGTGGAAACTAGCCAATGTTTTACCTATACCTAAATCTAAGACAGTTCAAATCTTAGAAAAAGATCTCAGACCTATCTCACTGACCCCGAGCATATCCAAAGTAGCTGAAGAATGTGTGGTAAATAGATATATCAAACCTGCGGTTCTGAAATCCATCGACTCAAATCAATTTGGTTCTATTCCTAATTCTTCAACCACTTTTGCTTTAATAGACATGTTACATCACTGGACCTCAATGCTGGACGGAACGGGAGCAACTATCCGAGTGTTTCTATTTGACTATAAAAAGGCATTCGATTTCATCGATCATAGTATCCTAAGGATCAAGTTAGATGCTTTAGTTTTACCAACTAGTATCATCAACTGGATTATCGACTTTTTATCGGATAGATATCAAAGGGTTAAGCTGTCAAATAGTTGCCTTTCTGAATGGGGCCAAGTACCGGCTGGTGTTCCTCAAGGAACCAAATTAGGCCCTTGGCTCTTCTTAATAATGATTAATGATTTGAAGAAACATAGTGAGAACTTATGGAAATACGTTGACGATACCACGGCGTCGGAAATTGTATTGCAAGGCGAGCACAGTGAAGCTCAACTGATTGCAAATGAAATTTTAGATTGGTCCAATATCAATAGAATGCAATTAAATGCTGATAAATGTAAGAAGATACGAATTTCTTTTGCACGGAATCAACCTGAGCTTAACCCAATTTCAATTGAGAATCAAATCATAGAAGTTGTATCCGATTTTAAAGTGCTAGGTCTTAACATTAACAACAACCTTACGTGGAATAAACATATCACTGAATTAGTCAAGAAAGCCTCCAAAAGGATATATTTCCTTATTCAACTTAAGAGAGCAAAAATCCCAATACAAGAACTAATCACATTTTACATAACCTGTATAAGATCTGTGTTGGACTATGCTGTCCCGGTTTTCCACTACAGCCTACCCAAGTATTTAAGTCAAGATTTGGAACGAGTCCAGAAACGCGTATTTGGAATTATTTATCCCCATTTGAAATATGAGGAAGCTTTAAATCTCAGTGGAATTGAACATCTTTCCACTCACCATCAAAACAGCTGCAAGAAATTGTTTAATGCAATTATCAAAGATTCTAATCACAGTCTACATTACCTCTTGCCGCCAAGGCATAACTCCATCCACGACCTGAGATCTATTAGATCTTTTGACGTTCCAGTTTGTAAAACCAATCGGTTTAGTAATAGTTTTATTATGGCATCGAGTAGCAAAACTGAATAGGTTTTACTCTTCATTTACCTATTTTATATTCTTAATAACTTTTGCATGCTTATTATAAACAGACACTTTTGACAATTTAGTTAATTAATCATAATACTTTGATATATTTCAAAACTCTAATTTTTAATAATTTTTAATTGTAAGTATAATACGCAATTCAGCTCATGGCTGCAATGTATTTACCATTTCTAAATAAAGTATAAAGTATAAAGTAATATGGGATTGGTCCATTGGGTTGACACATACCTTAAAATCATAATGAAATCTATCATGCATGCATGTAATCATCAATACTCAATAGTGAAAAAGATTAAAATTAAAGTTCTTATTTATCAGCAAGACATGCCTTCTGTCATTTTTGACACCAACAATTTGTTGTATTCAAGAACACTTTTCACAGATTCAACAATAACCGATGAGCCCGCAAACCATGTGCGCCTACTTCCTTGATTGTCAAATATATCCCAGAGAACGCCACTTGCCATCTTTTGAGGTGAGAATCGCGGAAAGTATTCCCAAATTTCCTTTTGAATTACTTTGACTTCGGCGGCATCCAAGCTTGTAAAATGTTGTCGAAGTATTTCATCAAGACTGGATTCATCCGGTTTCTCTCTTCCATATTGGTACGCCACTCCAGTTCGAATGTACTGACCATCTGGTCCTCCAGGAAGGGACCCATTTTGATATTCCGGTCCATGATGATTATTCACGGTACCATAAGAGTCCCGTTGTTCCCATACTCCATGATCTCGTTTTTTTTCGATGGTACTGAACCAGAAGTCTATGGGTGAGTCACCACGGTTGCCATACGTGGAATCATATAGCGTTGTCGTACACCAAGCAGTAGTGAGTCCAGAAAAGAGTTCTTTCTCTTTCTCACTGGGGTCGATTAAATGGAGGGTTGAAGACAAACTTGGTGTCCAAATCAGAAAATCAAATTCTGCCCAATCTCTGCTGGTTGAGTATTTTATAAGGACCTTGTCATTTCTTCGGTAAATTCGACTGATCTCAACATCGAAACGCACGTCAATATTCTCATAAGTTTGTATTGTCTCAAAGACTGTCTGGAAACCGCCTTTATTCGTGTAAAACTGTGATTGTCCAGTAAACATACCACCTGCCATTTCTGTTAAAAAGTGCGGTGTGTTCCATATTAAACCATACATAGCGGATATTTCATCCACATGACCAAAACCTTGTCCGGTGTGAGACATGATAAAAATGGGCTTAAGCATTGTTAGACCATTTTTTTCAATGAATTCCAGGAATGTACAGTTGATTAAGTTCATCACTCGTGGAGTAGGTTTTCTCATTAATTCTCCTTTGTATTTACCAAAAAATTCACGATGAAGACGGACATACTTAAGCAAGGACATAAAAAGTTTTTCAGCAGCAACTTTTGGATCATTCGTTTCTGCTAATTTCATAGCTTCAGGAAAAACATACGATGAGTAATTAATTGGGATAGAAAGTTGATCCAACCAAACGTTAAGTGGAGGCAAATTTGCTGGTTCCCAAACCCCAAACTCTTGAGCCAGTGCATGAACATTTTCATAGCCAGGTTGGGTGCAGCACGCGCCCAGGTCATGTGCTGTATCACGATGTATGATAGTTAAGGTTTTGCCGCCAACACGTTTACTTTTCTCAAGCACTACAATATTTTTAAAACCTTTTTTCTTCAATAAATAGGCCATATGTATCCCAGCTGGACCAGCACCAACAATAGCGATTCGATCTTTCAGACATTTCGGTGACGGGATACGTTCGGAGAAGGGAATTCCTTTCGGCTCCTCGGGAGATTGGACAAGATCAACAAGTTGTTTGTAGATCTCTTCAGGAGAAAAACTTTCTGTCATTGACCATATCATCAAATGGAAAAGCAATAGTGTTAACGCGATGATATTCTTTGAAAAAATCTGTAACAAATGGAAACGAAAAACAAGGTTTTACAATATATTAATACGTTTTACCAACCTCGCAATACATCAGCTGCAAAGTGTGCCTCAGTGTGATTATATAAAACTGGGACGGATCGAAGATGGCGGTCACTTTCCTTGCTCAAATAAATTTGACTTCATGATGCCCGCATTTTAAGCCCAGTTCTGTTGTTTATTATTCGTTTGTATGTTTATGACTTGTACTTCTACCATGTTTTCTAATAGTAATACTGATTACTGTTTAAAATTAAATATTTCCCTTTCGCAAAAAGCTAGATAATTGCTATACTAGAAAATACATGCATGCAGACATCCTCGCCTTGCTGACAAAACCATGCATTGTATTTTCCGAACATGAAGTATCTAAAGTAGTTGCCATGGTAACACGATAATTTTTTAAGAATATTCTTAATACAAATGAAAAATCGCTTAAAAATATCACTTTTAATTACAAAATTATCAATTTCCCAACATATATATGTTAGGTATGATATTATACGTAATATAAGCTTCAATTTAAGGTAAAATTCAACCACAAACGCTTCGCAAAACGTTTTAAAGTGTTCTTTATAAAACTAAACTGCCTTTATTCTTTAATTAAATGGCTTTATCGATAAACTTTGAGTTTGCAATAAAATGATTTCAAATTCTAGCATGCAAATAACTTTGCTTTCTTTTTTATTTAAAAAAATTCAATATAATAAAAAAGGGAATCAATATTAAAGATTTTAAGATACACTGAATTGGGGCCCGATAATACGATATGCTGTCAGTTTAGTTGTTTCATATACGCAAAGGCCGTCGGGTTTTAAAGCAATTATAAAATCAATATTTAAAACAAACTTACCCTCGTTAACGTCGGCTCCCTTCTTTTAGCCGATTCTTTCGCCATTTCTTTCTTGAAATTTACAAAATCGTGCAAAAATGCGAGCAAAAATGAAATATATTTGCAAGAAATTTATCAATCATCAAATAAAGAAATGTTTGCTATTTCGCTGTCGTCATGCAGTCGTTATAATGCAAACTTTAAATTGGACCAATCACAGTGTTTGCTATTCATGACAATCCGCCATATTTTTGAGATCAGTGAGGATGACCACCCACGGTTGGTGACCCACGCCCGCGATATTTGATGAACTTTAGACTTCGCTAATGCTTTCGTTTCCCCGGGTGTAAATAGCCGGGGGGAATTAGTACCCTCGCACGGCGCTTCGCGCCGTCGGCTCGGGGATGAACTCAAAGAAATATTACACAGTTAAGTTAGACCACCTTAGTTTCTCCTCTTTCGAGAAACGTATGTGCAGCAGATTTTTGGATTTTCTTAATAAGACAAAATATGTTTGAAAAAGGGGGAAAGAGTAGTTTTAGATTCGTTCAAATCGATATAAAATCGGGGAGGGTGGAAAGTCATGAGGCAGTGCGCGCATCTATGAAGCTCTATAACAAACGTACTTGCAGGGAGGTGAGTCCGGGATTGGACGCACCGAGGGTGGCTGGAAGTTTCCCGAACTTACCGAGCGAAGCGAGGTGAGTTCGGGAAACTTCCAGCCACCCGAGGTGCGTCCAATCCCGGACTCACCGAACCTGCAAGTACGTTTGGTTTTTATCCCATACACCGAGCCATACACACATTTGTAGCTCTTCGCGATATATTCGTCGATGTTTTGTGAACATTTTCCCGGCCAAAAAAATCACTGGGCAAGAAAATACTTCTTTATCTACGTCTACATTACCTTTACTGCATTTTTTCTTTGGTTTTTCTTCAGTCTCAGTATGTTAGTCACCGAAAAAAGTTCTTTAAAGTTTAGGTTTATCGGCTAAATCTTGTCCGCCATATTTGTTTAATATTGTTATTGCAACGTAAGCAGTTTAGCGGGTGAGTTCGGGCGAAAAGCAGGTGAGTTCGGCAAAAAGCAGGTGAGCTCGACGACAAGCTCACCTGCTCTAAACCAATCAGAAAGCCGCTTTTAACACACGTATGGGATAATATATGTGACTATATCTTCCACTGAATTAAATTTTCAAATATTCTGAAATCAATACTTGACATTGGTAAAGGTGGTTTGTTAAGACATTTAAATTTTTCTCCAAGTGCCCCCACAATGCAGGAAATGCCGTTTCAAAGAAACAAAATTAAATTATTTTCAGGGGGAGCATGCCCCTAGTCCGAAATTCGAAAACAACGTCGGTGACCCCCAATTTTTATTTTATTAAAAGTTTTTTTCTAGTATGAGCAATCATTAAGACAATTTTTTAAAAATTCTGTAGATCAAAAATTTTTCAAATCGAAAAAACGTGTTTGTTTCTGACAACAAATTTTTAGAACTACAGAACTTTTTAAAAATTATCCTAATGATTGCTCATATACTAACATATAACCACGGGCTTTAGGACAAATTCAATTCGACAACAATAGTATTCTATCTAAATAGCAGTTAAAATAAAGTGTACGGCACCTGAACTGTTCAATATCTTGCTTCTATATCAATAAAACATTTACATATATGCAAATACTGTATATTTTCAAAATCCGTCATATTTATTTAGATAGATAGTATGAGCAATCATTAGAGCAATCATTAGAACCCAAGCTTTCGCGGTTCACACGAAATATTAACGTAGGTGATTTTCACTAATAATAAGAGGGTAGGATTAAAGTGGGCGTTGTCACTCGCTAACCCAATCAGCTGTCTGGGTTCTGCACCACGTGACCTGTTCAAATCGTTCCGAGCGGGAGAAATCTTATGACATCATAACGACTTCGATAAACTGATTTTGGGGACACGTTTGTGCCATATAAGGAAGTTGGGGACACGTTCGTGCCATATATGGAAGTGATGCTTTCCTCGCGCTCCGAACGATTAAATAATTGGATGATCCTACCCTCTTATTATCAGGGTTGCCAGGTCTCAGGGCATGCTCGGAGCCAAACACTGTATAAAATGAGGCCAAATTTTACCAAAAGAGGCCAAACTACTAATTTTTCAAAAAGCCTAAATGCAACCTCGGCCCAGGGCCTTCCTCGCCCTAATGAGGAAGGCCCTGGGGACGAGGTTGATTAAAATGAAAGTATGAAACGAAATTGAGCTTTAGCCAGTTAGGCGGACGTCTGCGAAAACAGTACCAATTAAGCTTGATCCTATATATTATGATTGGCTATTTTTATACACTTACAATTGGCTGAATTTTGTGAACTGTGATTGGACGAAACAAGCAGCTAAGTTATCCGCATAATGTAGGATGGTTGCTCCGAGAAGTGATACACAAAATTTTGTTTCGTTTTGGCCTGTTTCTCATGATTAATTTAGTATTACACGTGAAATTAAAAATAGCTCTTGAAAATAAAAAGAGGCCAAAAAGAAGCCAAATGGCCAAATTTATTTTTCGAGGCCAAGCAAAAAAAAAGAAGAAGCCAAATTCGAGTTATTTGGCCTCCAAGAGGCCAATCTGGCAACCCTGCTTATTATTAGTGAAAATCACCAGATGAACGACGTAATATTTCGTGTGAACCGCGAAAGCTCGGGTTCTAATGTAAATAAATACGGAGGATTTTGAAAATATACAGTATTTGCATATATGTAAATGTTTTATGGATACAGAAGCAAGATATTGAACAGTTCAGGTGCCGTACACTTTATTTTAACTGCTATTTAGATAGAATACTATTGTTGTCGAATTGAATTTGTCCTAAAGCCCGTGATATAACTGCTCCATTTCTTGAGTTATTTTGGAATAAATAAAGGGCATTTCAGTCTGCTCGTTTATCGTATGGTTGTGTCTTAAATTCTGTTAGGATTAATTTATTTTTAAGGTTTATCGTTCTCTATGCATATATTTTCAACTATTAGGCCGTTTGCTGTGACCTCGAAAAGTGCCTAGAAAACGATTTTCATGTCTTGGAATTGAAATATTTTTATGGGAACTAACACTTTCGAACACGCTGAGTTCAAATCCGAAAACTTCCCGCACCGTAGACCCGCAGTTTTCTCACAAACTGCCATTTTATCTTTACTAATTTCACGACAAATTTTTTCATTGTTCAACAACACAGATGGATGAAGACACACGATTGCATAACTCGAAATCAATCATTCCTATTTTTAACTCTCTACATTGAACAAAAGACCGTTTTGCTTGGATCATTTTGAGTTATGTAATTTTAAGCGCGTTGGACGTAAATAACATATCTTGTCTGCAACTTTGGGAAGGTACCAATATCGCTTTTTAAAATCCTCAGTTTTGGTTGTATCTCTATAAGATCAGAAGGACGTCGATGTCAAGTCGTTGGGCTATATCTCTGGGATGAGAAATAATTCATTACATGCGATCAAAATGTTTTATACAACGATGTAAAACGGTAATCTTAAGGAATGGGTCAAAATATTTCAGTTTCAAGACATGCTTAATGAAAGTGAACGACATCGGGACGCAGCAAACGGCCTACAGTATATTTAACAAATTTAAAAAACTCATTAATAATTCAGGAGCAAAACACAAAGAAAAATCATAAGCGTGTCGTGGTCTTATATGTGCTAAAAAATCATGTTAATTTACATAAACTTTAGCTTTGATTTTCTCGGTTTAGACAAAGTTTATTTTAAAAATTACTTCGCCAATGAACTCATATAAGATGAGTCGTTTTTTAAGCCATTTAAAGCACTCGTAGGAGTGTTTTATCAGATATAAAACGCTCGGCTGCGCCTCGCGTTTTATATCTGATAAAACACTCCTACGAGTGCCTTAAATAGTACATAAAACATTTTCCGTGTTGATATACAGTTATATCAACACGGGTGGAAATTGGGAAAACGAGAAATTGTGTTGAAACACGACGCCCGAAGGGCGGAGCATTGAACTATAAATAACTGGAAGGCTAATTCCTATGATGAAAGTCTATGATTCATTGAAGCCGGCGCGCGGGAAAATCAGCTTTCAA